GTGCATTAGCAGTGGACCACATACATATGCCCTCCCAGTTAAATGTACTGGAGGAAAAGTAGTTGTCTCCTCCCATCTAAAGGTGTAATAAGTTTACATCAAACAAGACTGCAAAAGCCTGAAATGCCTTGAAAAACACCCTTCAGCCATTGCCAAGAACCCTAGTTATACACCCCCACACACACACACATTACATCAGGCTAGAGCATTTGCAGCTGTCTTTCCAAAGACAAGTCACACCGATGAGGTTTTCAGTGGGTTCAGTGACAGCACAGAATGAATTAAAACTGGCTTTTTTCCTTGTGGGTTTTAATCTGCGTTCACTGTTTAACACGCCACATAGACTTATATTCCTCTGGCTATCCCCCAGCTCCTCAACCCCTGGTGGTTCCCTGACCTGCAGCTCCTTGACCAAGCAGGTTTTAAGGTTAGGCAAGATAAGTGATTGCCTCCCTTTGCAAGAATAAAAAGCTGCAGAGAAAGCCAATTTAGACATGTGAAACGTTTTATTCTCCAGTCATAATTTCTTTCCTATTAAAATTGGCAGAGTGATACATCTTATTCTCTTAATAATTTACTGAGTATGTGGGAAATTAACAGGAAAGAGCAGCAAAAACTTCTCTGGCCTGATCTAGAAAAGAAGCTGAAGGTCATCAGCCCCCCCCACTGCATCACTCTCAGGCCAACACCACACCTGAGAGAAGAAGCAGCTCTTCAGAGGCTCCTACCATGTGTCGGAGAGTAGAAGAATAGTGGGAGCCTCATGAAAGTCACACAGATTCCAATATGTCTTTTATTACCATTACTGAACAAGTGTGTCTCTGCACCTCGTGCTCTGCAGGCAAAGCCAGTGCCTCCATAAGGATACCCTCTCTCACATGAAACTTGGTTTATGACTATTTTATCAAAAAGTGCTTGAAGAGTGCCCGCAGTGCACTCATTGTTAGGGAAATGGGACGATGTCCATATGGACCACTCCCTGGATTTGTTCTGGGGCTTTCCAAACTGGGAGCATAAGTCCCTCCAGCTTGAGTCTGATGTCTTTTCAAGATACTGATAGACTCCATATTTTCTGTGGACTGAACATAAAGGGGCAGATAACAATACTGAACAACTGTTTCTTGTGTGATACTGGCAGATGCCAGCAAAAGCCTACTAGAGCTGCAATGAAAGCATCTCAGTTACAAATTTGGAAAAGCTGCTATTTTTTCCTTTCCAGCCAGAGTTCTACCTTTCTATACTGCCATCCATTCTGGGTGGCTTCAGGCTTGATTATCCAGTTTGAGTGAGGAACACTCTAAACAACTTTCCACCTTTGAAAACGCAAAGTTTTGCTGGCTGTTACAACCTGAGCTCACAAAGCTTCTCTAAATCATGGTAGTCATGAAAATGCATGTAGATCCTTATTTTATCGCTGCCTTAAGTTTAGATGTTATAATGAAAAGTGCTCTACAAAGGTCTTTAAGTAATGCTGCCAGCCACAGCACAAAGCAGACTGATTCTCCTTATTTATGCATATTTGTATCAGGAATATGTCCAATGAATGCAACAAAGAATGTAACAATTCACATGTAACATAATGTGAATGGAAATGGAAATTGAAAATACTTCTTAGTGTTTATTTTCAATTCATATTGTGTTACAATTGTAATTGTAATATGCAACTGCAACTGTAATAAACACTAAGAAGTATTCTCCTTCATGTCTACAGCACCAGTAGACATACAGCACCAATTCTCACCGCAGAAATGGAAAATCAATTAGAAGTATCTGTGTAATAAACTTTTAAAGATTGCTGTTCTATAAATATAGCTATTTCTGTAAAAGCTTTCCATTTTCAAGACCGACACAAAGTTTGAATCAGAGTCCCAGGTCATTATCATTGTAACAATATACAAATGGTTGTCAGAATCCAACACTTCAAGTCTTGTTATCTGTGTAGCATCACACATTAAAAGTAGATCTTTTGTTCAGCTCAGTTGAGGCATGAGTTATGCTGGCACAGTAATTTGTGAGATATCACACTTCATGTTGATTGCACTGAGTCCCATAGCATCACAGCACAGATTTCACAATGAAATGCATGACTTCTGTATGTTGTATCAGAACGTGTGAACAAAATTGACCTGGCACTTGAAGTTTATCTCAAAACACCCATGTCAGTAGGGAAAGAAATAAGCACAGGGCTGTATTTAAATTCTTTGAGCAAGGGGGCATATTTCCTCTTTGTAACTGTGCAACACCTACTTTTATGGAGACTTATTCAATGATGGAGTGGCCAGGTTGCAGCTCTTGAGTCACAGGTGACTTGAAAAGAGCTTGGGTGCAGCTCCTATGCCATGGCTATGTCATTAACCAGGCTACTGAGCAATCCCCAGCTGTGGGAGGAAGAGAGTTCCCACAGGAACTGCTAAGGCTGAAATGATGGTGTCCCCATGGGGCCTATTAACATCCCACAGGGCTCTGTCCTCAAGCTGATCAAGGAGAGGAGCCCTGAGAACTTATCACTGTCTCCTGCATGGGAATAAATCTGGGACATTCCTCTCCTCACTGAGAAAAACAAGGGGGTTCAGCTATATGAAGATTTTGGTGTATGGCTTGTAGAATCTAGAAACTTTGTGTGATCACTGTGCAAACAATAAAGCTTTAAAAACGACTATCATCAGATAACATCTCCTACCCATATATGGTGAAGACTTTCAAGCAAGACCTGGTAAGTAAGCCTTTCTCATGAAACACATGGGATTTTGGAGCTCCAGGTCAACCACTTAGATTAGTCCAGTAATACTGTATATTTTAGGCTTTTTTTTTTTCATTATACCACAAAGAACCATTAAGCAAATTAATTATTTTTTTAATCAGATATCATCGTGGTTTAACCCCAGCCAGCAACTAAGCACCACGCAGCCGCTCACTCACTCCCCCCCCATCCAGTGGGATGGGGGAGAAAATCGGGAAAAGAAGTAAAACTCCTGGGTTGAGATAAGAACGGTTTAATAGAACGGAAAAGAAGAAACTAATAAGGATAATGATAACACTAATAAAATGACAACAGTAGTAATAAAAGGATTGAAATGTACAAATGATGCGCAGGGCAATTGCTCACCACCCGCCGACCGACACCCAGCCAGTCCCCGAGCGGCGATTCCCTGCCCCCCCCTTCCCAGTTCCTAAACTAGCTTGGACGTCCCATGGTATGGAATACACTGTTGGCCAGTTTGGGTCAGGGGCCCTGGCTGGGCATGAGAAGCTGAAAAATCCTTGACTATAGTCTAAACACTACTGAGCAACAACTGAAAGCATCAGTGTTATCAACATTCTTCACATACTGAACTCAAAACATAGCGCTGTACCAGCTACTAGGAAGACAATTAACTCTATCCCAGCTGAAACCAGGACAGATATCTTTCTGCTTAGCTAGACTCAGTGAAGAAATTCTTGCCCTTTAAAGTTAGTGCTTTCTTTCGATTGCTTTTTTTTTAAAAACTTATTTGAAGTATAAAATAAGTCTCCATGGTAATATATAGATAATTTATCAGCATGGAATGAATAAGTAGTTTCTCTGCAAGCATAAACAGGATATGTTTTTTGTTTTGCATTACTGATAAAAGGATTTATTTTTACTAATAGCACATACCTTTGTTAATTAAAACAGCTTATTATACAAAAGGATTAGAGGCTAGATTTTTTCCTCACTCCTTTTAAAAAGACATTCTACACATCACTTGTTCCCAGTGTCTTTTCAGTCTTGGGCACCTGGCAATACAAAACATTCCTCATGTAGTGAGTGGTGTCAGTAAGAATATTATCTGCACTGCTTACACATTGATTTGTCCCTAATTTATATTGATTGCACTGATTGAGATAAAGTGTGGGAGGTGGAAATGAACATGGGTCACTTCAGGTAACTTATTATTTTTCTTCCCCAATATAGGCTTTATAAACCACCAGATAGTTTGGCTAAGTAAGTACATTTCACATATATTATATCTTATCTTTCCTTAATGAAACAAAAAGGCAGGTTGTTCCTCTTACAGCCGTAACTGCACAGTGCAGGTTCCTTGGCAATAAGCAGCAGCAACACTCCTAGGCAAAAAATCTCTCTCGAATGAAGCATGTAATGATAGGTTTAGCAGGTTAGCAGTATTTGCCTAGCACACCCACTATCCTAACAAATACTGATCTTGCTGACTTGCCTATGGGCTAATTGGGTTTTCTTGACTGTGTTGTTCATGGCCTCTTTACCTAATGTGAACTAAAGCGTTTGGGAGCATCTACCAAGCACAGCTAAGGGATCTAGAGTACGTATAAAGCAGATTTATGAGAGAGAAGCCTCAGAAAAGCCCAGCTTGACAAGACTTCTCATTATGTCATGATGCACAGCCTCAGGAATGGAATGAATTTGGGTCCTGGATAAGGTTGTGACATTGCTTTGTACAGCAACTGGGGAAAAGTGCTCTCAGTAAGCGGCTGCATGCAGCTGTGGTAGTTTAGAAGAATCCAAACAGGGTGCTAGTCTCTCTTACTGGAATAAACCACTGCTTTCATTTTCCTCAGAAGATTTCAGGACTCCCCTGATTTTAATAAGTTTTTTAATTATTCTATCATGAAAAACTGAAAGCTGAAAAGAACAGCTACAGGAACGTGGGCACTCCATGAATCCCGGTTCTCAGTATCCCATAAAACTCTCCAGTTTAGCTTTACCCTCCTTCCTCCCAGAAATAAACATCTTCTTAGAGGCAAACTCAGTTACTATTAACTGGAGCTGTGCAAGAATCAGAAGTCCACATTCTCCTTCCCTTAAGCCACATAAAAGTAAATGTGAATTGGTATGACTGGTTATGTACAAAAGCTGTAAGGAAATCTTCATTGTGAATTCTTTGCATGGTGCAAGCAAGAGGGGATTAAAGAACTAAAATACTGCCTTTCTGATTCTCACATCTCTCCCAGTTCTTGCAAAGTTATATTTAATGCTAAAACTCTGTGAAATGCGAAATAAGGAAAATTTCTTTCTTTCTTTCCTTCTTCCTGACAACTCAAACCAACCCAAGACTACTGTGCCTGCCATTTCCCACCTCTCATCCCTACCACACACACATCTCTACATATGCCATGATCCCAAACTTCAGATCACATGAGGATTTCAACACTGCGATTGATGCAAGCAGTCATCAGCCTTTCCATCCCAATATCCCTACCAAGGCTTTTGATGTGGTTGTTCTGAGAAAGACCAGAGGTAAGACAGCACTTTGTTGGTTTACCATTTATTCTTGAAACTTACTTAGAAACACTACTGAAGTCATGACTCTTTCCTACTGAAGCTTCACAGAGCCACAATTTGAATATATCACTGGTCAAGCTAAGCATCTTGGCTTAAATTAGAGCTCTATATGCTGATAGTTGCAGCCTCTGTGGAGGATACCTCAGCATTGAGAATGATGAATAAACCTGACTCATGTGAACACCTTGTGGCCTCAGAATCCAACAGAGCTATTAACATAGCTGCTAATCCCCACAAAAGCAAGATGGATCATTTAGTGTATCTGGTATCTTCTGTGAGACAAATAATTCTTCACAGTCCAAAATGGTGGAAGAGAAAGGAAAAAAATGCATCATTGGGATCAAAACCTAGCAATTTGGGGACCAAAGTCATGCCTGCTATACCTTTGCTAAGGACAACAGAGATACCCCTGAAATAAGAGCTGAATGATTTAAAAGATTTTATCACTACACAGATGGTAGAACAAGGTCCAGTGAGAAAAAGTAATTCTTCTTATCCCTTACGAAGACTGAGATGAAGCCCTAGACATTATTTACAGAAAACCATGTAAGCCATCATGAGGTATTTATTTTTAACCCCAGCAGCATTTTACCCTAGGAGTTTTTTACATAATGTATTGGAGGAAAAGGGCATGAAATTTTTGTTTTATTCTGCTCTTCCCTGGAGGTGTTGTACTACATTGGGATTTTGACAGGTTCTTCATTTTGGAAGACTTTAAAGATCACTTGCATGAACTGATGATGAGTCCTTGGCAGCTGCTGACCACACAGGGTTATGGGGAATTTGGGACAGGAGAAAGCCAGCACCTCTGTGTGCCATGGCAGTGCCTGCCAGGAAGGGTTTGGCAATAACTGTGTGAAACAGAAAAAGCATACACTGGCATGGATAAGAAGCTTTTCAGCAGAGTAAAAGCTGATAATGTTAAGTAAGAGGTCCATTTGCATTAATTAGCTGCCATTCCCAGTCATCAGCACAGTGCTGTACAGTCATGTATATAATTGGGTACCTGAGCCATTTTTAGTGAAGTATTTGATCATCCAAACCCAAAATCTTTCCACAGAATATGTAATGCTAGGAGTAGCCATTTTTAGTCAGTTTTCATTGATCATTGGTCAATTTAAGAAACACAAATCATGTATGGAAGTCGGCTTAGAAAGCCTATTTTTGTACAACAGGAGGATCATCGGAGGCCAAGACCTATTTCCAGCAAAGCTTAGCAGGTTCAGAATTACTAACTAAGGGGCCAGCTACCACTGGCACTTAGAAAATACTTTAACTTCATTTGCTGTTCCCTCCATATGTTTTGACTTCCTCTGAGATCAGGACACACCAGTTCTCAGTGACTAAAGGAGAAATCTCTGGTTAACTACTGATAACCCAGACCACACTCAGGTGACTTTTACCACTGGAAGGTTGTATTTAAAAGCTTTGTGCCTTTTCTACATCTCACCTTTACAAAACTCAGAGTAGCTATTATGTAGTTAATGCTGACACTATCTCTGTGAGGTAAATAGGGAAACTGAGGCAGAAAGATTGGAGAGAAAAAGCAGTGATAGAACCAGGTTTGGAAATTAAGCTCTTCCAAGCATGCACTGCAGTTTCACTTTTGCAAGACATCTAGTAGCATTCAGTTATTCCTCTGATGGTGACATTATGAGTACAGAGCCAGCTTCACAATTCATCAAGCTTTATTGTTTGTTGTTGCTGTTTGTAAAAATCATGCACAGAAAATGCAATAAGAATCTTCCCTGCTGGTGGGTGAAACCACCTAGAGCTCCTGCAATTGGCCATGGGCAGATGACCTTCTGCAGAGGCAGCTTTATCTGGTATAAGATCCTGCCCTCAGCTGCTTGTCACCACCTCTCTGCCCAAGACAACTAGCCTTGCAGATCTGGTGGTGCAGATAATCACACTGAGTGCTTCTAAAAAGACAGCTGGGTTAACTCACACTGATTAAATGGGTGATCTGATCTAGCTCTGCTGATTTTGTACCTGTCCTGGTTTCAGCTGGGATAGAGTTAACTGTCTTCCTAGTAGCTGGTGCAGTGCTATGTTTTGAGTTCAGTATGTGAAGAATGTTGATAACACTGATGCTTTCAGTTGTTGCTCAGTAGTGTTTAGACTATAGTCAAGGATTTTTCAGCTTCTCATGCCCAGCCAGGGCACCTGACCCAAACTGGCCAACAGTGTATTCCATACCATGGGACATCCCATCTAGTTTAGGAACTGGGAAGGGGGGGGCAGGGATTCTCTGCTCGGTGACTGGCTGGGTGTCGGTCGGCGGGTGGTGAGCAATTGCCCTGCGCATCATTTGTACATTTCAATCCTTTTATTACTACTGTTGTCATTTTATTAGTGTTATCATTATCCTTATTAGTTTCTTCTTTTCCGTTCTATTAAACCGTTCTTATCTCAACCCAGGAGTTTTACTTCTTTTCCCGATTTTCTCCCCCATCCCACTGGATGGGGGGGGGAGTGAGTGAGCGGCTGCGTGGTGCTTAGTTGCTGGCTGGGGTTAAACCATGACAGTACCGAAAGAGTGAAGATGAGTTCTGTCTGCAAATCTATGAGGTCAGTCTCCCAAGGTAGAAGAAACAGCAGCAGCAGCTCACAGAACCTCTTCCACCAGCACAGCTGCCTGTATAGTGACCATATGCCTACAGCTTAAAATGCAGATCCTCCTGTCATTCTGATCAATGGTGTTCTATTACAACATGTTAAATATTTCCCCTGTAGGTAATCCATACAGGCATGAAGTTGTCCGTATTCCCTCTGACTCCCAGAAGAAGGCTGTACACTGGCCGGGACAGCACACATACTTCCAAGGATGTAGTTCATATGGACAAAGAGCAAAATACCGCCCCCCCCCCCCCCCCCCTTTTTTTTTTTTGTAATCAAACTTCTCTGCATCTCTTTCATGGGAGACATTTCTACACCAAGAGCTCCTGTACTGTTCCAAACACTTGCAGGCTATGAATTAGGCATCATGCATACAAAGAGTGAAAAGCTTTAGAGACAGTTTTCAACCACCTCAGCAATATATTAAACAAGATCAGAAGCTAGCAAGCTGTCCTGTCACTGAAGTCCTTTAAGTACTAACTAGCTCTCATAGGACCTAGTCAAGTAGCTCTGGAGATAAGAAGAACAAGAAGAAGCAATAATAGCTACTGACCATACATTTGGTGGGGGTAGGGCTTGATTCAGAAGCCCAGATTATGCTCTGCAGCCCTTCAAAGAAATGAGTTTGGGCAGCAGTGGACCTTTGCTCCTCCTTACCTCTCCACAAGTCCTGCCAACATACCAACAGGCTGGTGTCTCTATTTCCATGTCTTCAAGAAAACAGATGTCCTCTTTGTGGATGGTCTTTGACTCCAACCTTGCCTTTCCCAGTGTAATGATGGAGACTGGGCTGGTCCATAAAACGGAAGAGTGAATTTGTTCATGAATGATCACGTTTCTACTATTCTTCAGCTTGGCTAAACACTAGTTCTCTTCCCAAAGGGATGTAGCCTGAAGTTTCATGACGGATGAAAGTCATGAATAGTGTAGAAAAAAATAGCGGTGAACAAAGAAAGATACAGCCTTTGTAGACACACAGTCTTACAGACGTGACAAGGGAAACAGTAAGTGGCAGTCCATTTTAAGGCAGTCTATAATTGTGACTACAAAAGAAAGCTTATATAGCATGTAATGTTCTGTCTAGGTGTGGCTACCATGGAGAACTTGATTCTAAGTTATTTGAATTGAGTTCAGCTGAATTATGTACCTGTTGAATCTTCCACTTCAGTAGCAATACTATACTGACTACTGAAGACATTCTTCCACCACATTTTTACTTTTATTAGCATTTACCAAACAGATAATTGGGGGAGGGGAGGGTGACATAACACATGTTATTTCAAACCTTTAAAATAGTCTTTTCTATCCAGCACACATATTTGGTTTATACCTTACCTATTTCTTCTTAATCTTCGGCTTCCTAAGTTTGCTGAAGAAAAGGGTCAAATATGCTATTCAAATCCACCAAAGATAGTGGCCCCCAACTCCACTTTTAAAGAGCTAGAATATAACCTCTCTCCAAGAACAACCAATATGCTACGAAACACTGAAAGAGTTCTGAGGATCACAACATAGAGTTTGGACTTCAGAGGTAAGCATTTTTCATTAAATTAATTTCCTTGGTATAGCAATGAAAGATCACAAAGTGTTAGCCTCCAAATTTCTCGAAGAAATTCATTTTTTGTCATTTAGTAACAAAGGCCACACAAACTGTAAATTATCTGAGGTTTTTCTGGGGGACTGTGCATTGATTTTGATTTTCCTAACCAATAAAAATGTGTGACAATAAAATACATCACTATTAAGGAAGCGGTCCCACAAGTCCCTTTATCCTGCGTAACTATTACATGAAAGCAGTTGGCAGATTAACTGGAGAACTAGGAGAAGATGTGGAACTAGCAAGTACTGCATTTAATAAGAATCTCATGCTTCCACCACAAATAATACTGGCAAGAGTATTACCAGATTCAGGCAGCAGAATTAAGCCTTTCCTTTTATAATACTTAAGCGCAGGGCAAGACTCACTATAAAACAGAGGCAAGTATACTAAATCATTCCTGACACAGCTGCTTGACAGAACTTCTGTAATGGATTGACTTGTTCAGGGTTTCCGGGGGAGGAAAGTTATTGTGATTATCTGCTTATTTTTTATCTTATCATTTAAAGTTTCCACCATCACATAACAGCAATTCAAATGACCGTTTGCCTTGAGAAGTATGAGTAACAATCTCCATAAAATGAGTTGGCAGCTCTCATATGAATGGTGCAGCACTGCAGAGAGTGAAAGATATTGGCTAGATGTTCAGCTGGTGTTAATCAGGACAACTCCACTGAACTCATCAACTTACTGTCTTTATTGCACATTGTGTATTCGATAAGTGACCTATTACCATTGCAGACTATTGCCTCCTTACTAACTACAGCAGTTTAAGTTTAGCAGAGTTTCTATGATTCATCCTCCTCCATTTACATGAGTAATTTGCCTTTCTTCCTTAAGGGTGCATCAGTAACCTTATCAGATTCTATTGTAATGCAAAGATTTACTCTAAAGAATGTATGAAACTATATTGGAATATTCCATGTTTATTGTCTTCAACAATTTTTGTATTCTGTGTGGCCTGTATAAAAGTGAAAAGATACTATTTGTATTAAATGCTATTCATGCAAACAAAGCATAACATGGTATATAAGCATAGCAAATCAATTTGAGCTGTGTTTTGCTAATGCATTGTTACCTGTAATGGATTAAGCCATTCAGTGACACCTGCACACTGCCATGCAGAGTACATACACAGGTCTAATTGATGGTAACTGACTAAGCAATTCTGCAGGTAAAACGGAAGGAATGGGTTCCTGCTCTGCTGGCTTTACAGCAGTTCCGGGTTCAAACTGCACAGACATACAAGAAGCAGGGCAACTAAGTAAGATGCTGTCATTTTCTTAGTTATAGTCCAAAAATGGCCCTGGATAAAAACTCCCCAAATTGTCCTGCTTTTTTTCTATCAGATTAAAAAAATCCAAGTAAGGAAATTCCTTTTGAAATGGCATTTACAAGTTTCTGATAATTGAATCCTGTATCAGAAATTGAAAAGGTGTCTAGCTTTTTCTCCTGTGTGATGAAGAAACAAATGTTTCACTTTATGATGACTTTCAACAGCTTGCCTCTGGAAATGAAAATCCAAACTAGCAGCTTACATTAATTCAAAACTGAGCAGTTTTATTGCCCTCTGGCTTCCGAAGTGTGACTGGCAGAGGCCTAACCTGAGCCATGATGATTTATCTGAATATTATTCCACCTAAAGCATACATACGTTAAATATCAAACACTCAGATTGTTCAGCACAGTAACTGCTGAAGTCCATTCTTTGGCTATAGGACTCAAATGTACTTTGTTTGAACAGTTCCTATACAAAGCAGCTTTGACTCTGCACCAGTACCTGAAGCTTCAACAGTACAAACGATTAATACAGGGTAACAGTATTCAAGCAGTGGATCAAACTGTGATTGAGAAAGCTAAAAAGCCACATGCCAGTGAGCATCCTCAGTCCCACTTGCAACCGTTCCTAAAAGAAGTTAAAAACACACTAATGCAAGTTACTGTTTATACTGTCACATTGCTTATGAGACCACAAATGGAAGACAGATGCTTATAGAAGAAAGAAGAAGAGAGCACAGGACATCTACACCCATTTATATCTTATGCACTGGGGTAGAGCAGAATATTTTCTTTTCCAAAGCATAATGACTATGTGGCAGGGCAGTAACGAATGTCTGGGCTGCTTCCCTTTGCCTGGGAGACCCCTAACTGAGCCATTTCAGTAGTCTCAGGCAATGGTCTGCTAAAATAAGCAGTCCCTGCTAAAATAAGAGACTTAGATGACAGTGTAAAACCTGTTACTTCCTCCATATAGAAACAGAATTTTCTGCCTAGTCTCTCACAAGTGAGACCTCTTGAAGGGTACACTGCATGTTTACTTCCCCATGAATCAAATCTGCAAGAACAGTACTCCTCCAGTATTCAGATTCCTCTGCCTTTATTCACAGTTCCTACTGTGATATCCAGCTATTCAGGCACAATGCTGAGTAAAATAAAAACAGTGGCCAGTCTAGGTCAGCAGCGTAAAGTGACAGAAAACACAGACAAGAAATGGGATGTGAGCCAAGAGCAGGCCACTCTGTCTCAGACATGCTACCTGAAAGTTCATTATTTGGATACAAGGCTGCCAATATACAAACTTCAGAATATCACTGACACATTGCAAACAGAAGCATTGTACAGGGGGCAGCTTTCAGGAAGGCCTGAACTTGAATCCCTTCCAAAATCTGCATGTTCCCTTTCCTATGGAGACTTCAAGCCCAGACATTTGGATCAACATACAATATGGGAAAACCCAGTTAGTCTAAATAAGCCAGGCTTACCACTGGATGTAAAGAGTAAGGAAAGAAGAATTTTGGTGCACAAGCTTTGGCATCAAGAAGCATGTCAGCCTTCATGGAGACCAGAGGATGGGCCAAGACAGACAGCACTGCCTGAATGGATACCTAGCTGTAAGGTTCCTCTCCCTAGCTGTAAGGTTCCTCAGAACCAGACAGCACTGCTGGAGCTGCAGCATTCCTTCTGTAAGACAGCAGCACAAAAACATTTTCATGATTCCATAAGAGGAGAGACAAAAGACCTCCGAGGTAACATTACTGAGGGGAAAAGACACAAATTCTATGGTTTCAATGCTTTTCATTTCTTTAATTGACACATTCCTTGGTCCTGTAAAAATAGAGTAACAAATAAAAAGTACCTCAATACAAACTGTCTGTCCTTTCCTAGAGAACCACAATAAATTCAAACAGTAAAGAGAAGCGCAGCTAGGGTAGCCCAGGACATGTGCTGCCTGTTTGAGAAGACTAGAAGAGCTTGTCTTGGTTTAAAGGCTGTGAAAACATGACTTTTCTTCAGAAACACATTAGTGGGATAAACACTGGTTAAAGAAAGAGCTGATTCATTAAAGCCCAAATGGATTCACAAATGAGCATTACAGTCTGGGAATAAACTTAGGCTGTGAATCACAAGATGATTTTTAATGGTCACAGCAGGGAGGTTCAAGAATAGCTCTTCAATAGATGCAGAGAGGGTCAGAAAACAGGCTGCTTCAGAATGGACCTGACAAGTTTACGAAAGGAGCTATGACACAGTTGCCAGCAACAGCTGGGGATCACACTTACTGACCCAGTAAGGCCCTTTGCAGGCCCTCACAAGCACCAAGCTTCCTGGTCAAAAGGACCCTCTGCTACTCTGCAGGGAACCAAATGCCATTATAAGGTCAGCACTACCACGCATACACAGGGACAAACATGATGCCCACGAGCACAGCACATTCCCAAAGCCTCCATGCTCTAAGGCTGACTGTGGCCTCTCCAAGCTTACATTCCTATGTCAGACCTATTGTGGCTTGTATTTCAGACTCTTCTCTTTCCTTTTTTACTCATTGTCTAAGACAGGAACGTTTAAGAGAACTGGAAAGGCCACTGAGACCGTATTTAAACTGCAGTGAAGACTGGTAGAGGGAGAATGGGATTCAGCGATCCCTGCAGGGCTTTGAAGGAGCTTTAGAATGAAGCAGGTAAGCTACAGAAAACATGTAATTTGTTATTAGGAGTTAGCCCTAGATGGCTGCAAGTGGTCAATATAGTTGCTAAGGATTAACAGCAGGCATTAACTTGGTGGTTATAAAAATAGTTAAGAGCAAGAGATAGGGACAGAAGAGCTCTGCTGCCGTGTTGTGCTTACTGAGCTGTTCAGGATTCCTGAACACTGTGAACAAAACTCAACCAAACAAAAAGGTCCCCAAATGCAATATATTTAAACATCTTAAATAAGTTTTGTAAAGACTTTTGAAAATAAGAAAGCAGCAAAGGAAACTTTAGTGGAAAGCTATCTCATGGATTAGCAACTGGCTTTGCAAAAAGAATGCGAAGAATAAGCTTAAATTGCTATTTTCTGTGTGCTAACAGATTAATATTGCTGCTACCCAGAATTCAGGAACATAGCTAATATTGGTTCAATTAATATCTTAAGGAGCTGCAGCCAAGTGGGGATTAGAGAAGCACAAACAGCACATGGGCATTCATTGGGCTTTTTTTAACTCCTTAATTAAATGAGGGATTATTCAGTTGTTCCCCAGAGAGGACCTGAAGAGGGAGCAAAATGCCATTGTATTTTTCACTGAGAGTTTTTTCATTGTCATCTTCTAAATTGTCCCATTAAGAGCTCAGATAGATTCCCCTCTCCCTTCAAGCAAATCACTGGACTTCAGGAGACTGCCAGGATCACACACTGAATATACAGTTCAAACAGAACCATGCTTCCAGCTAGCCATTATCCACTGGACTTTCCTTTACAGGAAGAGATACTAGGAAATAATCATGGCAGAAACATAAATCCCTGATTACTTTATTCATGTGTGACATCTTCAGGAGGCCAGTCAGGACACAGTGCCCCCCCCAGCAGTGCACTATTTTCTGTGCAAGTATTCAGAGTACAAAGGGCTCAGTGGCTACCGAAAGGATATAAAGAAAATGATATGACAGGAGTCAGAGAGCTTACTTTCCATTAGAAGATACTCACTTTCTATCCCACCTTTACACATCTCAGAAACAATCAGACTTTTGGTTCTTAAAACAGAGATGATGAATGCATTTATTAGGACACAAGAAGAGTACAGGAGAGTATCTAAAGGACTTAGTACAAACGTAACTGAGCAGCATAATAACGGATGAAATTTAATTTAAAGGCAAAGTGTGAAGAAATGTACTGCAAAGAACTGTTGAAGACAACTCAGGCACAAATGGATTTTAAAATAGTTGTTACCTCCTGGAGGAACGATTTCAAAATAAGTGCAGACTCCTGCCTTTTGCTTTGCCTCTAGCACCATTCAGGAGAGATTAATGTTAACTACAGAGAAGACAGAATATTATGTTATTTCATAATCCTTGTGTATCTTGCATTTAGTTTTGTTCAGCATATTTGCAAAAAAGTCTGGAAAAGAGCAACAATTATTAAAACCAGGATTAGTTATGCCCCAAGAAAGATACATGAAAACTGAACTTGCTCTTTCTGGAAAAAAAAACCCAACCCAACCCAAACAAACAAAAACGACCACATAAACAAAAAAATCCCCAACAAAACAAAACCCCCAAACTACAAGCTACAACTTAGCAATGAGTACATAACACATTTACTACAAAAAAGTTTCATAATTCATTGGTATCATGTATCTGTAAGCCCCTGAATGAAAAAGCTCTGGGACTTTTTGTTTGGTCAAATTCATCACACAAAAAAAGAAACTTAGCAAGTACACTCTAATTGTTTAGTTTTCTTCTCGGAATATGATGAAGGCAAAGAATATCATTTTAAAAAAAGTCTTAGAGACATATCCTAGGAGCATAAGAAAAACATCTGCAATGCTAGTAGTTTGGACTAAGTGTTCTCAGTGCTCTGAGACTTCCTGCTTTAGGATAATAAGCTTGTCCTGGGCAGTTTTTAGTGTCCACAAAGCATCCAGCATTGATCATTGCCAGAAACTGTGCTAAACCACTAATCTGCTCCAATATAACACTTGACACGTTCTGAAGTCATATGTGAAAACAAGACGACAATGAAGCTGGGATATTAAAACCAGATTCTAAAACTACCAGCCAGGCAATTACTTGGTTACAAAAGTCTTGAAAACTTGACACAACAGGCAGCAAAACTAGCCTAAGATCTCCGCAGGGAGGAATCCCACCTCTCCCACTGACAGAAACATTCCATGGGTGCTACCACCCACAGCAGTGATTTCATCTCAGTGAAGAACACAGCCTGTAGATCTATGAAGCATGAACATGTTGTCTCGTAACTTCGTCAGGCTTCACGTTCAACAGTTCCTCCTGCTGCTATAGAGCCCTCCTAGATCTGCAGAGAACTGGGTATACACTTAAAAGCATTAAGCCTGCCATAGCACACTAGTTTTATTTCTATGGGAGAACACAGCTAAATTTGCCAGTTTATGGCCTTATTTCTACTTATGTTATAAATGGTTTCTGCTTTGAAAATCCTAAGGTAAGCAAAGCTTTTATTTTTTAAGACTCTCATCTGAATCGTGGGGCCATGCTATTGCTCTTATTTCATGAAAGGTCCTCCTGTCTGGCCTATAGCTTAAATACAAGAACTGTGTAGGCTTTACTAGACTACATTAGATTAGCATATCGTCATTACATAAGGAGACCCAAACATACAAATCTCCTTACAAAAGGAGTCTTAATTTGGAGCTTTTCTCAGGGCTAAGTTGATGCTTTGGAGACTCATTTGACAATATCTTCATTTAAACTACTGCAGAAGTACTTCTTACTCTATAGCTTGGATTATTCAGAAGATAATGTTCCAACTGATCATGTAAATGAGAGGACAGTAATCTTTGGCTCCCACAGATACACAAAGCAAATGTATTATCAACGTTGGCAATTGTCATCCCCTCCAAACAGGATATGGCTGAAATTCTTCCAACTGTTTGATTCATCGGAAAGTAAAATAATTTTTTAAAAAATTGAAAGTGTTGTAGCTTTGACCAATTACTTGCCACCTAAAAACAGAAATTGAAGCCAGTAGAAATTACTGGGTTTGTACCATGTTTTTTTTGTCAGATGGAATCAGACTCTCAGACAATGCTCAAGACGTTTATTATACATCTATTATTTTAAGCTTTGCAGAAAACTGTGGAAGACACCACAATAGCATGAGACTAGCTTTAAAGTTAAAAATATAATGGACTTAATAAAAGGATACCCTTTTATTTGTCTTTCAATTCTTGAGCCCCTAAGTTCTTTTCCAAAAGCAACAAAACTATGTTTTTAAGAAAAGCTGAACTTCTGACAAATTGCTAGGTCCTGAATCTTTCAAATGTGAATGTCCTTGGGAGTTAACTTAATTAACTTTGGCCTTGAGTCCAAAAATGTTCTTTTTTAAAATTACTATCTTGAATCACCTATCTTTTTAGCCTACTTTTACTATAGGAACTGGTTTATAAGGATTCAGAATGAGTTTTCTGATAGTAAAACAGAAGCTGATGCAGTCAACTAGGACAACTCTTGCATTTGGAAGTCCTTTCTTGCTATTCCATGCTACATTGCAAATTACCTCACTTTATGCATTTATGTTTTGTACTCCCTACTCCTCTATACTCATCCGAACAAGATGCCCCTTGTTACTTGCATCAAACCATGAACTGATTACAGAGAAGCTGTATCCCACACTTCTCTCTATCTTATAGAGAGGTCCAAGGCCTCATTATATTCTTCTGTGAGTCTACAGATAACTAGACATCTACCAGTCTACAAGCAGCTACTAGAACAAATACTTGAGCGGGGCAGTCCAGTATCTCAACGTAGAAAAGACAGGCATTGAGTCAATGTTCTCAGCTGGAGGTCTGTGTCTGTTTTAAGTTGACAAAGAATGACTCTGAACCCTGGACCTTCTTAATCTACCCAGCTCCCCACAGGCCAGATGCTGGGAATGACAGAGACCTCTACCTACAGTAGCCTAGGGGACACTTCATCATAAAATAAATGGCTACCAAATAAATCTCCATGCCTGTGACATAAATCCACAGCACCAAAGAATGGACAAATTACTTTGGTATTTTCACACCTGTTAAACTCAGCAGTAAATTTATGACTCAGCAAGTCATGGCATGATAATGGTTGTGCAATTGATTCAGCT